AGACTGATAACAAGACGCGGAGGCCTGGCTGCCTGCTACGTACTGTGCAAGTTGAACCCCTTGTGTATCGTGTCCTACACACCTACTGCCAAATGACGCGGTCCTGTTCTCTCAAAAAGATAGGTGTAGCCCAACCCGAAAATAGCATAAATTGGTTTCCTTGTTCATTAATTGACCGAGTACTGACGCGCAAATATATGCATGCCTTGTTGCAACTACGCTACTCACCTTTATCGTCAACACATCTGTCACAAGTCGCTGTCATGCCACCTGGAAATGCCTCCCAGGCCTACAAATTAAACATCCAGGACGTCTTTCTTACCGTGTAACTGACCTCAGCGATTGGAACGCGGCTGCACACACTCATGCTGACAGTCAGGGTTCTGGATAACTGAGGGAACAAGCCTCCTACGAATAGAACCAGAGTCTCATCTGTCATTCCCTCCTGATTTATTCACACAGTTATTATTAGAAAAAGAATCAGACAATGAATGCAAAATGAGTGCGCTATTTACAGAACTTATTCAAACGCAACCACAACGAGCTCCTGAAGTTCTGTACCAAGACGTACTTTACGTTCGACGGAGCAGCCTACGAGCAAGTGAAGGGCACACCAATGGGTTCGCCGATTTCGGGATTCATCGGCAGGGCAGTCCTACAACGGCTGGAGTGGTTGGTTTTCCGGAACCACAGACCGGAATTCTGGGCTCGGTGTGTGGATGACACCGTCGTCATCGAACGGGATCAGGTGTTGACATTCAAAGAACATCTCAATGCCGTCGTTCCGGGCATTCAATTTACGATGAAGGAGGAGAAGGAGGAGCAGGAGCAGGAGCAGGAGGAGAAGGTGGAGGAGGAGGAGGAGGAGGAGGAGGAGGAGGAGGAAGAGCAGGAGCAGGAGGAAAACAACCAGCTGGCCTTCCTAGATGTCCTCGTCTGCCGCAAAGATCGTGGTGGCCTAAAAATCAAAATGTTCAGGAAAGCGACAAATACGACGCAACTACTGAACTTCAATAGCAACCACCCGATCATTCACAAACGCACTTGCGTAAGGGCGCTATACCGGCGAGCTGAAATGCACTACCGTGAAATGGAAGACAAGGATGCTGAATTGCAATATCTTTGACGGTTAATGAGGACCAATGGCGACTCGCGCAACTTTGTCTACCAGTGCATACGAAAAGGACACCAGAGACCAAATCCAACCGGCCCCAAATTTTAGGGGGCTCTTCCGTAAGTGAAGAGCTTCTTGGAGGCCGTCAGTCGTCTTCTCACTCCACCTGGAGTTGGGGTTGCACACAGGCCGGAAGCAACCATCAGGCGCAAAGTCATGAGGCCGAAAGACCTACTGCCGCGACAGGAGACGTCTGGAGTCGTTTACCAGATCTTGTGCAGTGGTGGAGAAAGCAACTACGGCGGAGGAACTGGGAGATTACTCCGTACGCAAATTGCCGAACGCGCAGCAGCAATGAGGCGTGGAGACACTAGCTCTCATGTGGCGGCTTATTCGACGGGATCCGGCCATATTTTCAAGTTCCAAGCGGGCGAAATCCTGACAAGGGGTGACAACCGCGTGAGCCGCGAGCTGCTTGAGTCATTGTTCGCAGGCCCGCAATCCATCAATAAGAACAATGCTCATCCGTTGCCGTATTCTGTACTGAGATTTTCCCTTGGCAGAAGAATCAGTCGCGTGGGGAGGCCACGGACGAGCAATTATCCCAGTGGTAGTGAGCCGGTTTGTCGAGCCATCATCACACCAGCATCTAACACGGATGACGAAATCGCGGCAATTAACGACTCGGACATTGACTGACAAGCTATCATCACATCAATTACAACCCCAGCAGTGATTGGGAGAGCTGTTAATTACAGTACGCATATGGTCCCACGGCAGTCACGTGTTATAAATAGTGCAGTCCTTGTACCGCCATTACCCTTATCTGCGACTATCTCTGGCGACGGGTTCGAGTGAGTATGCGAACCGTCAGGCCAATAAATTTCTTGCTCCAGTGATCGCAAGTTCTTCTTCTGAGCAACCACATGCTTACTTTTACCAGCTGTTTCTGCGTAGCTCGCAAAACTTTGTAACTTGTGATACAACTGCTTTCTCCTTGACATCCAAGTTGAGTGAATATTTGGTTAACCCCAAACATTTGAGGCCAGTGCGATTTATTCGAAGTTGAGATCCCGTAATTTGTTTTTTTTTTGCTCTTATTGGCTACACAATCGCCCTGACCCCAACTCCAACGCACATATAGAAAATGTCAGCAGCAAATTCTGCCCGCTCCTCGGACACCACTTTGTGCCGTCTCTACAAACTTTCAACAACTGAAAGCGTTTCCTACTGACGAGGCCGATGAATCATGGTTTCTGATAAAATATGTCTCTCATCATCAAATGATAACTGGGCATTGGCTATTACGATGATGGTAAAGGCGCACCCGTTACTCTAACAGCAGAATCTGTACTGACACGTAATTAGAAGCTATACATTACATGCATGTGTTGATGTTGCCTCATTAGCTCAACCTATGCGCATCCGCACGTTTTCGCATACTTAGACAAATAAAAAGTCTGTTCGCTCGATTAACTTTTCATGTTTGAAAATATTAAGTTTGCCGTAAATCTTGCCAAAAATTGTTTTAAATGACCTTACTTTGGGCGCCTGTTGAAACACTGAAAATCTGGCTTATGCGTGCAATGCTCCCGTCTCATCTGGCCACTCCCAGAAACCGAGTAGCTCTGTATGGTTCTCGGCCAATCACAGCTGGCAAAATTGGTCAAAAATTTCAAGACGGACCCAGACGAGCCCTCGCTCAAGACACCTGACCTTTTCTGTCGATGGCACTCGGATGCCTGTCCCTGCAACGGCGAGCGTGCGCCTTTCGCTTATCTGACAACTTTCTACAGCCTATTTCTGGCTCATTTTGTACAAAATGTAATTCTTCCTTTAGAACGTGGCAACCCGATGCAACTTTTGTATTAGAAATGGCTTTGTCTGTCCCGTGGATTATTGTGACTCGAGGACCTTAATCAACATTATTTTCACGATAACAGACGTATTCGGGGAAAAAATGCCCTTCATACGTTCCTTTCTGGGGAAGCATGCTTTAGTTTATTTTATTTACTGTGGTCCGCCATAAAATAGGGCTTAGCTTGTCTGCCAGAGAAGTGATTGACTAGGTTGTGGGTAAGAGCGGTGTCTTAAGGTTGAATTATTTTATATTAATAAAGCTTTCGTGACACTGGTCTCATCGGCCGTTCCAATTCCTTTGTGGTCCAGTACATAAATGCTGGCAGCTTGGTGAGTGAATTCCGTGTTAACCATGCAGTCTGTATCTGCCTGGTATTCCCATCTGATGGGATCCGAGTTGCACCCCTCTTCTGTTGGCGTTGAAAATCCTGGTCAATGTACGTTGTGCACCAGGAGATTTGGTGGTACGCCAAGGTGGTTATCTATTGACATCAGGTCTAGGTGGGAGAAGATGAGGGGAAGGTGTGGTAAATGTGGCGCAAGTCTGCTACGAAGTAAAGCACGCTCACGTCACCGTTTCTGCTTTCATCCTGCTGCGGAACACGCGGTAAACATCACCGACAACGACAGGTGATTTCTCATCTATCTAGTGCATAGTAAACTATTAAAAACATATGAGTAAGTTCGCCATATCGAATGAGATGACAGGCGTATAGTGAAAAATCACCTAATGCAGCGTAGATGTGACGAAAATTTCTGCTTCATTTCAGCAATTTAAAATATTCCTTGATCTTGTGGATATGTAGAATATATGGTTTGCGACATTTTTAAGAGTGTGAAGCGCAAGCCACTTATGAGCTTACAGGAAGTTTGGTTACTTTTCTACGCTGTGAATAGCACTTGACTTCTCTAATTGTTCACTGAGCCGGATTTTCAAAACTCTCATCCGCTATGACGTAAAGAAATTCCAGGCATTTGACTGGCAGTAAAGCCCCCTCCGTGAATGTTTCCACCAAAAGTAACAAACAACGAGAAAATTTTTTTATTTCAAAGCCCAATGCAAACTGCTTCGTTCGTAGATTTTCGCAAAGTCGCTCGTAAACTGCAACGGGTGAGCCGTCATCGGAAGCGTGCCTAATGGCACTTGCGCAAAGTCGTGGGTTCGCCGCATTGAAGGCAAATCTCACCTTAAACATCAATGGAAAGATGTTCAATTTCTTAAAAAAAATATGTAAACGTAAAAGACCAAAAGTTGATTTAGTTCTCCTTACCAAGAGGACGCTTAGGAGGGTACTGTGAACCTTTAAATTGAATTACAGAAATCACAGAGAAAATGACATTATTGGAAGAATGCGGGAAAGAATTATGTAGAATAAAAGCATGAGGCCTTGGCCACTGGTTTTGCATTTTCTGAACAGATTTGTTCCCTCAGCATTTATGAAAGGGGAATTTGAACCTAGTCTAAAATTGTTAACAGTGTTAGTAACTCAGAGCTCTTTTAACGGGGCGCTTTAGAATGCAGTCTTAATTCTTGCAAAATTGCTAACTTTTCGCTGCCTAGTCCAGCAGTCATACCGCCGGCAGGCAACTGAAGTCCGTATATAGCTTTATTACAATCGAATGCAAACATATTATTTTGGAAATAATAGTTACCAGCTTAGCATGTTCTAATGTTTGATAAAATATGTTAACTTTCAGTATGTTGGTTTTTCCAAGCCTATACATCTAAACATGAAGTCTTAGAAGAAAAAAAGGGACGGCTTGTTTATATTTTTGTAGATTGTGTTTTCTTTTACAGTCTAATTTCTTTCGTATCACGATAACGCAGCCGATTTATTAACATGTAAAGTGTATTTACGGATTATGTAGACTTATTGAGACACTCTCGCTTATTTCACCTCTTCAGATGGCGCCATTTCTTTGTCTTTCTTATATTATACTGCAATGAAGCACTAACCGTGCGGAGTACTATTTTTAGTCGTAGCAGTTGCCGAAACAGCATTGCAAAGTGCTCTCATAATATAGAGACAAGAGCTAAGTACTCAAAAAGAAAAAAAATTTACCAGGGGCTTTGTAAAGGGCGTCTTTGCAGGAAGCATTCTTTCGAGGTGGACATTTTGACTCTACAATGTACACATACGGTTACGTCTCAAGTTATGAGCTGGATTGGAATCCATGACGTAAGGTAAACGAGCTTTCTTCTTGTCTTTGGACTCATTTTAAAGCCACATGCTGATTCAAACCGGAACTTACTTGAAGGCTTTCGGAATCCGAATTTTTTATAATCGTCATCCTCACTATTGCAACTAGAGGAACTGTCAGATGAGCTGCAGGAGGAGGAGGAGGATGAGTCGCTTTCGTCACCTGTCCAGGTATGAAACGGTTGTTATTTTTCAGAACGCACAAGATCAGAAAACCTTAACATGTAAAGCAGATAGGTCAAAAGTAACTGACACTTTTCACCATTGCGCCTTGGAGTATTAGGCGTTCTGTGCTTTTCTGCCAGTTTAATACAGAGTTTCACCGCATCTGAAAACAAGAAAACACATGATAAACGACTCTTGATTCTGAGGCGAACATCTGACTTCAACGTTAGGACACGCAAATGTAACCCACTGTAGGTATTGAAATGCCCCATAAAGTTGTAAATCCTTTGGAATTATTTAAAATTTAAGGAAAAAATATGAATAGCTGAATCACGTATGTATGCACATATATGTATTTTCTAAGCAGCCTATATATGGAGTGATTTCTAACAAGTTCCGGTCTTCTTAGGCATGCTGTCATATAAAAACTGTTCCGAGCTATTCAGTCTATTTTTTTGCTAACTTCAGCGATTTGAAGCCATGACTATCATTTTGCATCCGGCCTCCTTTAAAAGGTAGTGCTCCTAAACTCACAGCACAATGCGATAAAGGGGGTAATTACTTGAACCCTTATCCTGCAGCTGCACTAAGGATATGCTGAATAGAGGTGCCATGCGCCACAAAGGCGTTATGAATTTCGACTAAAACCGCTAAAAGCAACATGATGACTCAGAGGCTTCAAATGTCTGCAGCGATTGGGATTTCAAGAATTGACGGGTATTACTAGTTCTTACATAAGCCTAAATGGACGACACTCACCAATCGTATAGTCAAATCTTAGTCAAC